GCTGGAGAGACTGTCTTTATTCCATTGTATACTCTTGCCTCCTTTGTCGAAGACGAGTTGACCTAAAGTTTGTGGGTTCATTTCTGGGCTCTCTATTTTGTTCCATTGGTCTATATGTCTGTTTTGGTACCAATACCATGCTGTCTTGATGACTGTAGCTCTATAGTATTGTCTGAAGTCTGGGAGAGTTATTCCTCCAGCCTCTTTCTTTCTCTTCAGTAATGCTTTGGCAATTCTAGGTCTTTGATGGTTCCATATAAATTTTATTATGATTTGTTCTAGGTCTGTGAAATATGTCCTGGGTAATTTGATAGGGATTGCATTAAATCTGTAGATTGCCTTGGGCAGTGTGACCATTTTAACAATACTGATTCTTCCAATCCAAGAGCATGGGGTATCTTTCCATTTTTTAAAGTCTTCTTTAATTTCCTTCATCAATGGCTTATAGTTTTCTCTGTATATTAATCAACATTTTTTATTTAATGGGATGGCATAGACCAGAAAACATCAAAGTACATCACATATAGTAAGGGTAAATATTATTCTGTGAAATTTTTTCATTATATTTAGTAACAATATGAAATTCCCATTTTTGTAAGTAAACAATAGTGTCAGTAATTTCATATGGTTCAATCTTACAGTTTTATATATTAGCTATATATACCAAACATATATGCATGTAGAGCTCAGATGAAAAACTTATTTCCATGATAAGTTACAGTCCAGAGAGTTGAAAATCACTGGGTTAGAATAAATGTCTAATAGCACTGTGCTAAGCCAGAAAAAAACTCCACAGAACTCTTCCTCTTCATTCTAAAATAGCTAGCCTCTGCTGGGTAGAGGAAGACCAATTCATGAGAAACTTATAATTAATAGACAGTACTAATAACTAATAATTAGTAATAAACAGTATTCATAATTAATAGATAGTTCAAATGCTAAGTCTAGTATGCAGATGAACTATAAGATTTAGAGACATTCAGAACAGTGAGAAATACTGCTATAGTCAAAAAAAGCTTCCTTCTTGAAGTGAAATGAAGAAATGGGTCTGACTAGATGAGAGGGCTCATTTCTGTGACATCTTTATGTCTGTAACACGAGTTCACTAGTTCAATAATTTATTGAAGCTTGAAGCAATGTAGAAGAAATAACCAGTATAAGGGAGAAATCATGAGTAGTACATAATTTTGATGAAATAGAATCAGAAAACAGTGTCACTTTGCAAACCACTAGCTTTAATGTGGTCAAGGACCTACTGTTTGGATAGACTTGAAATCTTGCTTCAGAGCTTATGGTACCTTAGAAGATAGCTTTAATTTTACTTAGTTGATTTTTTTGTTTGTTTCTTTTTTTTTTTTTGAGGTTTGAATTTTCTTTTAAGAAATTTGGAAAATGTAGAAATTATAACCTCAGGGAAATTTATTATTTTACTTAGCAATTTAAAAATTTCAGATTTCTTAAAATGAATGTGAAATCCAAGACCTCAGGTATATTTATTTTGGAAACTGTTTTATTGTCTAGATACCTAGAAGTATTTTTAGAAAAAAAGCATCATTTATCATGTGTCAGTGAGGGATTAGTGTTTGCATATTTTTCTGAATGGATAGAATTAGATTTAGATCTCAGAATACTGCAATATCCTCAAAAAAAAAAATCTGTTCCTCATACATTTCTCTTGCAAAATCCACCTCTTTTACTGCTGGTTTCTAGTCCATACCTTATGTCCTACCGTGACCATTTTAGCCACAATTTTTTTTTTCTGTTGGGCTATTTTAACAACCTGCTAACAGGCTGCCAACAGATCTCTGTTGCTAATCTCAGATCCTGCCAGTGCATTCTGTGTGTGGCTTTTCTTAAACACAAACTTGATCATGTGTCAATCCCCTTCATAAAATTCTTTAATGGCGTCTCATTTCCGACTGGATAAAATCCTTTGCATGCCATACAAGGCCCCACATGGACTAAACGTTGCTGCCACACTAGTTCCATCTCTCACTGTGGATCCATTGCTCCATACAGGCTAAGTGTTTCTACATACCAACCTATCACCCTCCCTAGCCTTTGTGTCACAGCTCCCTCTTTCTGAAAGTCTTCTCTACGTAACAAACATTGCCTTCATATTTAAGTTGTTGTTTAAGATCGTTTCTCTAAGATATCGTCCCTGATCTCTCCTTCATCAGTAGACCGATGGTTCTCGAGTGGTTTTCTGCACATTAGAATCACCTGGAAATTCCAAGGCTCAGGAAGTGAGACCCAGGTGTCAGTATGTTTTGAAGCTCCCCAGGTATCTGGTCAATATGGTTTTAAATATTCATCCATATCTTCCTATGGTTATTCTGTTACTTTATTTTTACTTTTAATTGCTTAAGCCACCTGAAAATTATTTGAGACTGTGATGTGGGGTGACGATTTAAGGTGTGTAGTTGAGCAGATAAAAGAGACAAATGACCAGTTGTTAATATGGCATGGTATGCATTCTCATAAAGGTTTGAGGGAGTAAAGAAAAGGCAGTTAATCTAGGTGGCAACATATCTTTCTAGATACCCTAAACCTGGTAGGGTCATTGGTTACTGAGACCAGTAATCTCCAAAAAATGTTTTATTACACCTGTAGAATAAAGTTTTTTGTTTGTTTATTTTTAACAATTTTATTGAGATAAAGTTCACATACCATGCAGTTCACCCATTTACAGTGTGCAGTTTATTGATTTTTAGTATATTCAAAGATATCATCAAACATCACCAAAACTTTAGAACATTTTCATCATCTTAAAAAGAAATTATGGTTCCAGAGGGATGGATAGTACCTCTACTGTCTCCTATACAGCCTCAGCCTCCCCTTCCCCAGACACAGGCAACCACTAATCTACCTTCTGTCTGCATAGATTTCTCTGTTCTAAATAGTTCACATAAATGGAATCATTTAATGTGTGGCTTTTTGTGATTGGCTTCTTTGACTTAGCATGTTTTCAAGGTTCATCTTTGTTGTAGGATGTATCAAGTACTTCACTTGCCTTTTGGTTAAATAACATTCCATTTTATGGCTAATACCACATTTTGTTTATTTGTGAATTGATGGACATTTTGATTGTAAAATAAATTGTGAACACTTCCAATATATGTATTTTTTAATAGACTTTATTTTTATAGAGCAGTTTAAGGTTTACAGCAGAAATGAGCAGAAAATACAGAGTTCCCATATAGCCCTCTCCACCCACACATATATACTCCCCTACCCTCAACATATCTATTTTTAAAATGTTTTTAAGACTCCTGTAAGTACCACTGAATGAATATATTGTGTACTATACATAACATATGCCCAAAAATAATAGTTTAAAAGATACAACATAGCACAAGTAGCATTCTAACATTTTTTTTCACCTCTCAGTGAGTCATTTGTATACTATAAACCTTTCACTTTTATGAATTTTTGAGGCTTCTGGTTCAGGTGAGTAAGTCAGCTGAATAAGGGTGTTCTAGACAGAGGATGCAGTGCATACAAATGCATGGGAATGAGAGAAGGTATGACAACTTTTCTTGTCTTGCAAGTTGTGTGTCTGGAACATAGAGTGGAAAGGAATTTTCATGTAGTCATTTTTACCCTCTCCTTCACTGTAATAATTTAAGGCGAGAATATCTATATTCTTTCTCTCTCTATTTCTCTCTCTCTCTCTAAATATATATGTATATATATATATCTGTTTATGTATTTACGTATATATACATATATATGAATACCTAATAAAAATATTTAATAAAAGTTTTATTATAATATTTAAGTTTTGTTATTACAGTTGACCCTTCAAAACCAAGGGTTTGAACTGCACAGGTCCACTTATGTGGATTTTTCAATAAATGCATACTACATTACTACATAATCTGCGATTGGTTGAATCTGTGGATGTGGAACCATGGATACTGAGGACCCGCTATAAAGTTATACTCGGATTTTTAACTCCTGGGAGTGTTGGCACCCCTAACTCTCCACAATGTTCAAAGGTCAATTGTATTATTTGGCAGGGTATATTAGGCACTATATTATGACACTTTATCCCTGGAAACAACCTTATAGTTTGGGCACCTTTCAAATAATCCCAACCCAAAATGAGCATTCATCGTCTATTTACCACACCTTTCTGGCTTATTTATTCCTGAATACCTTAGTTGCAGAATTTTCTATGACTTAAGGAGACTGGCTGAGTCTGCTATAGCAAAACAACATCAAAAATAAGTCCTTTGGTCTTTCCCTTCTACAAAATCCATGAAGAAGTCCCTTACACTTTATTCCATATTGTACTGTGTTGCATATGAGGCATATATAGGAGAATAATTATGTTTATCCTTACCAGTTTGGCTGTAGTTGAAGAGAACATGGTTGTAATATTTACTCTACTACAGCCAAAGACTCTGTTAGCCTGTGGTATCTTGTGATGATTCCGGGAAGACTGTTGGGATAGAATCCAATCAACTTAGTTTCTCAGAAATTATTTCTCAAGGTTGGCTTGCTTATTTTTCTGTTATTCACACTCTTATTATTCTAGGTATTTTAACAGTGTATCACACTAATTAATTTACTACATTGCATACTCTTAAGGTGATAATAATTAATACTGAGCTTACCATCTAAGAAAATAGAGACAAAGCATTTGTGATGTTGACTTAAGCCTTTACTCCAGTGAGTAATAAAGCTGGGAATAGAATGCAAAGTTGCTAATTCAAAATATTGAACCAGTCCATCCAATGTGTTGACTTTTTTTTGTGACTAAGCCAAAGATTTTTTAAAAATTAATCAGTGAGAATGTGTCTGTAATTATGTTCTAATCCAAAATAAGAGGGTGAGAAATTTTCCACTTCACCCAGAAAAAAGTGTTAAGATTGCTTTGGTAACGACTTTAGTTTATGAAATGAATCAGACAAACAAACTGAAATAATCCTTCTTCATTAAAGGATTAATTAACGCCTTTTGAAAACAGGCACATTTAAAATAATTTTCTTCTTCAGCAAATGAGTTTTCATACTATAGAGTTCAGAGACTTTAAGCTGATAAGCCACCTCAATGAGTATTATATTTTTATTTCCTGATCATTTTTTGACTGTAGGTACCACATAAGAAATGTTCAGAGACATTAAGCCTAAGATGGCACCTGATGATTGCAGCTTCTCACAGTTGGGGATATCACGTTTATCAGCCCACTCTGCTTTGTCATACTAGCATTTCCCACTCCCTTCCTATTACTTTCTTTAAGAAGCCACTTTCCTCTGAAATAACACTTTCTCTTATTAAACTTTATTCACTCAAATAGTATTTATCAAGTGCTTGAAACCATACAGGCACTGCTTTAGGCTCTCAACATAAAATGGCAAATAAAGCAGAGTAGTTCTTCCTTCAAGGAATTCACATTCTCGGGTCCAACTTTGGTGCACTTCTTAGTCAGAGCTCACTGACATTCACTCATTACATACTTTTTTTAGTTTTCAGCTTTTTCCGAAAGGATAGGTTTCCAAGTGCGATGCCCTGGTCTTTCTAGTGGCCACTACTCCCCTATTGGATTTAAATGAGTTATGATGCATGAAGCACTTCAAACATTGACTGGCACATGGAAAGCACTGTTTGTATAAGGGTAGCTACAAGTACAGATAGGATCAAAGCATTTTCCATCCTATCAGAATACCGGCAGATACTGGTTATTCTTAAGCAAATTTAGAATTATAGGAAAGCCTTATAATTAAGAATGCTCAAGTGGTAGAGTGCATACTTAGCATGCATGAGGTCCTGGGTTCAATCCCCAGTATCTCCTCTATAAACAAACAAACAAACAAACAAACCTGATTACCTCCCCCTCAAAAAGAATGCTACATTGAACATTCAAATTTAGAGAAATATAAATTGTCTTGATAATTCACTTCACAAAAGGATTTTCCACATTTCTTCCAATTGTAAGTTTTATTAGTCCTTTGAAAATCTGATTTAATATATGGATATATTTTTTATTCAAACAAGAATGTTAATAAAATGAAAAATATTGTGTCTACTCCTTGCTTTTTCAAATGAGATTTAATCATTCGAAGGGAACCATAACTATAAAGTAGCTTATAGACATAAAATATGTTACCCTGTATTCTCTGCCAAGTAATAATACCTCATATTTATATAACATGAATAGTTTACAAAGTCCTGTCACATGCCTCATTACATTTAGTTCTATAACAGTCCTGAGAAGTAGATTAAACAAGTATTATCGTGTCCATTTTGCAAATAAAGAAACCAAGTATTAAAGATATTTAGTACTCACCCTAAGTTAAACAGTAGATTTGAGGAGGCAGATCTTCTGTCCAATGCTCTTTCCACTATAAAACTGCAAACATTGTTTCCTTTAAAAATAAAACAAAAGAAGCCACAAGCAATATGACCTGTTAGCTTGAAGCCAGAATCAGCAGACTGAAGGCTGGCCTACAGTTCACAACATTACCACTAGAATTGAGCAAGGTGACCCCCATCCAACTCACCCACTAACCCCAGGTTTCAGAAAACATATTTGGACACAGTCAATTTCAGATGAAGAAGAGTTCGATGACCTTTTTTCTGCTCTCATTTTATCTCAAAATTCAGTTGTTAGAGAGAGATCATTAAAGATGGAGACTGGGGAAGCAGGAGTGAAATCTGAACCAGAATTCGTAGAACATGGTCTAGGCAGGTAAAAAAAAAAAAAAATTCTGAGACACTGAACAGAGCCAGAAACACTGAGTATGGTCCTTTCAAATAACTGCACATATTTTCACACTTAAATCAGAATATTCTGATAGATGTGGGAAAATTATTTTACCAGGATATTTTTCAAAGTTCTTTCCTAGAATAATTAGGGAGAAATCCCAACAAGATTTTGGAGTCAGTTTCTCACTGTCTCTCTTTCTTGCCTGTGCTCTCTTGTTCATTGAACCACTGAGAAGTGCATTGTTTGTACTGATTAAAAGAAATGTGGATATTAGAACTGTAACTTGGAACTGTAATTTTATCAACTAACTCAAGCTAGTC